TGTTACAGACACTAGAAACGAAACAAGGAACAAAACAGACAAAAATCCCTGCTTAGCCGGGTGCAGTGACACACACCTGTACAGTCCCAGCTACTCAGAAGGCTGAGGCCAGAGGATGGCTTGAGCCCAGGAGTTCAAGTCCAGCCTGGACAACATAGCAAGACTCTGTCTCCAAGGTGGGGTGGGGAATCCCTATCTTTATGGATCTTACATTCTAGAATGTTAGGAGGTGAGAGATCGGTTTTCATATGTGGTTGCTGAAAACACAAGTGTCACTTCTTTATTGTATTGGCTCTTTTAGTATCCTTGGAAAGAGTTCAGACTGCTACGAATTAACTAAGTTTCTCTACTGTAAACCATGGTTTATAATATTGCACTAATGACACACAGCTACACGAAGCTTTTGCAGTCCTGGATCATATCCCCGACCCGACAGTTCGGTTTCAGCCAATCTCCATGCACTCCTCCCCCAAAAGACAATCATTTGCTGAGTCTTCTCTTCTTCTGGAGGCCCAGGCTGCTGGTCCAGGAAGGGTGGAGAGACCAGGGCATGACCCCAGCACTGACTGGTGCCCTTCCCCCGCGCTCCTGGCCTCAGCAGTCCCCCGGACAGGCGGCTCCATCAGGGCTGGGGAATGGGGGCGCTGCAAGCCATTGCAGGCTGAACTCTCCATGAACCAGGAAAGAAGGGGGTGGGGGCAACAGAGCAGACCCAACGGAGCAGGCTGGGGAGGCAGGCTTCTGGGCAAACCTCTCTGGCTGAGTAAATATTGAGCTGCCTCATCTCCAAGGTGGGGGTTGAAATGGAGCTGTCAGGCCAGAGTAAACTGAAGGGAGCTTCAGGCCTCTAAGGAGCAGAGGGCGCATGTTTTGTGTAGCTCCCTCCCTGCTCGGTTCTCCTCCAGGCAGAAAGGGCTGCAGGGCTCAGAATTGTCTGGACCCAGGCCAGTGATCTGGGGAGGCTTAAGGAAAGGGGTGATTTTAATTAGCTCTAACTAGGCCAGCTTCTCCACACAACCCTCCCATTCCCATCTTCCACCAAGTTTACACTTTTTCTTACCTAAGTCTTCATCTATCCTCAAAGGAAAGAATGAGTCCAGCTGTAGTGGGATAGTTTAACTTGCATTAAAGACTGGGAAAAGAGACCCAGAGAGGTTAAGTGACTTACCCAAGGACACAATGAAGGGTCTTAGTAGACTAAACTCCTCCTGACTTCCTACAAAATTCTTTCTTCTCTGAAGCATCTGACCCTGATGAAGAGAATAACTATGGATGAGGGCCAGGAGCTCAGCCTTGGAGCTGAATTCTGCGGCAACTTCAGCTTCCCTGTTATCCCAGGAATGGACATTAAATGTTTTACACCTCCAACTTTTGTCCCACCCAGGAAACACTCTGATTATAGGAAGCATTTTGAGAGCCAGGGAAATAGCCAAAGCCAAAGCCTCTGGAATACTCTGGTTGAGTCAAGCAAGGAAGTCAGAGCCAAGATTTAGTCACGGGGAAAAAATCTGGTACAACTGCAAGGGGCGCCAATCTCATGGACTACAGTGAGAATATGCTCCCTGAGTTATGAAATGGGCTGTCCTGTCAAGGACCTCCCTTGTTATGACACTGTACTTAACTGTAAGCCTGTATTCCATGGACTCCCCTGAACCCTTTAGTTCATAATTATTTTACTGTCTAGCAGCAAGTCCCATGCTTATGGTGCTGGCTGGGTCTGCTGGTGCAGTGCAAGGGGGACAAGGCTGGACAATGTCTGCTTTTATCATGCCAAAATAAAGAATAACTTAGTGTAAGAAAGTAATAGGAAAGTGTCCTATGTGACTATGAAAAGTAGGAAACCTCTGCTGAACACTTAACGTACACCAGGCAGTGTTCTAAGCATCTCTCATATATATATAATTTATTATTCAATATCCTTCATTGTGTAGCTGAAGAAACTGAAGCACAGAGAAACTGAATAACTCACATGAGCTCACCCAGTTAATAAGAAGAGAACATTTTGAAAACTAAGTTATACTCCAGAACTCTTGGCTCTCCACCATTCTTAGTCAGGGAACTGAAGTATCTGCCTTCCAGACTTCTTATCCATCTTCCCATAATGGAGAAGAAAGGGATTGAGTGCAAGAGGCCGAGATAAGCTTCCTCTTCAACAGGTGGGTAGGCGGAGAACAGAACCAAAAAGAGGGGTCTCAGCCAAATGCACCTGCAGCGTTCTCAGTTGCTAAGAAGAGAATCCCTTCAATTTGTCTTTAGCTCCATACACCTATCTGGGATCAAATAAGCTATGAGTGTGAGAAGTGGGTATAGTGAAAATACTCCCTGGAATAGATTGGGGATTAAAGAAGGGAAGATCCCAGTCCCTTTTACCTGATTTTTACTATAACAATTTGTTATGGCTCACATTTGCTTGTAATATGTATAAAAAGCACTTTACACATATTAACTCATTTAATCCCAACGTCAACCCCATGAAATAAGTACTGTCATTAACCTTATTTTGTAGATAATGACACTGGGCACAGGGAATAAGGCAACTTGCCCAAGGCCACAGGGCTAGTGAGAAGCAGGGCTTGGATTTGAACCCAGATATCTTAGACATTTCCACCAACTCCTTGGTGCTGCTCTCTGGCTCATGGTTCATTTTGATCTCCCTTGTCTGTTATCTGGAGAGATTCCTCCAAGCCTCCCGTCCACACTCTCTTCTAAACACCATCCCACCAATTCCTTGCCAGCAGCCTTGTGCTATCTGCACAAGGAATGCTTACAACAAAGAACCTGTGGTGCCTCATGCCTATAATCCCAGCACTTTGGGAGGCCAAGGTGGGTGGATCATCTGAGGTTGGGAGTTCGAGACCAGTTTGACCTACATGGAGAAACCCCATCTCTACTAAAAATACAAAATTAGTCAGGCATGGTGGCGCATGCCTGTAATCCCAGCTACTCAGGAGGCTGAGGCAGGAGAATTACTTGAACCTGGGAGGCAGAGGTTGTGGTGAGCCAAGATAGCACCATTGCACTCTGGCCTGGGCCATAAGTGCGAAACTCCGTCTCAAAAAGGAAACCTGAATTAACAGAAGAGCTTCAGGATTTTCAAAATCCTTTTCTTTCTCTCTGGTGCAGGAGATCAAAGGGACTCACATTGGGAGAACAAATGCTAAGGGAAAAGGCAAAGGAAAGAGGAAAAATTCACACCTGAGCTGAGAAACAGATGGTGCAGAGGGCTGGGTGAAGTGAAAGCTTGACTAGCCCCCCACTGATGGCCGTGTTTGTGGCGAGTGTGGGGCTCCTCAGAAATCCTGACAAACTTTCAACCAGCCAAGAGAATTCTCCCTTCTGTGAAGACTAGGCAGACATGGTGGCTCATGTCTGTAATTTCAGTATTAATACGTTGAAAGACCAAGGTGGTAAGATCCCTTAAATCCAGGAGTTCAAGACCAGCTTGAACAACATAGCGAGACCCCCATCTCTTAAATTAAATTTTATAAAAAGACAATCAAGACCCAAAAAACTCAAGATTTTTACTTTCAAACTGGAGATATTTTTTGACATCTGGGAAATGGAGGTGTGGGGTAAAGAGTTTTCAAATTTTGCAAAAAATTACTTACTTTCAGAACTCCTATTAAATATAATACCCTCCCTCCTAGAGCTGTGAAAAAATCGGCAATCTGAAAGGCATAAAGAAATCTATGAGGGAAGCAATTTGGCATCTATTCTAGAAAGTTAAACAATGAAGAGCTGGGCATGGTGGCTTCCAGCACTTTGGGAGGCCAAGGTGGGCAGATTGCTTGAGCTCAGGAGTTCGAGACCAGCGGGGGCAACATTGCAAAACCCCATCTCTACAAAAAAGAAATACAAAAATTAGCCAGGCATGGTGGCATATACCTGTAGTCCCAACTACTTGGGAGGCTGAGGTGGGAGGATCACTTGAACCCAAGAGGTGGAAGCTGCAGCAAGCTGGGATCAGGCCACCCCAGCCTGGACAACAGAGGGAGAGCTTGTCTCAAAAAACAAAACAAAACAAAACAAAAAACAATCAAGACTATCAATTTAGCTCAATGGGAGCAAAATGTTGTTTGTTATATACCATTCTCTCCTTTATGCTAATGTTTCTCATGTAGGCCTGTCTACGGCCTCAAATTGGAAGTGAGATTCAAGTAGGAGAGAAGGAGTCAGGATCTCTGCATCTAAAGAGATGGAAGGCAGATTCACTGGACATTGTTTTGAGCCTGCCCCTCTGTGAACAGAGAATTGATTTTCCCTCACCCTTCCCCGGGGGAATCTGGTGGCTCCCTCTGCTATGACCAAAATCCAATGGGCCAGCAGCCTTCTTCTTTCCTCCTGGCCCCTTCATCACTCCTCCCCCAGGACCGGTCATCCCATCTGAGGCCCTGCTCCACCATACTCATGGTCCTGCTTTGCTCTCACCAACGCACCTTCCTCCTCCTCCTCCCTGCTTTCTTGCCCACTTGCCCAAAGTTTGGAGGATCTAAAATATCCCAACCCAGAAGGCTCAACTGCTCACACAGATGCCTCCAAGCAAGGGTAGTTCTGTTTCCACTCACTCTCTCCCCTCTGTCAAGGTGACCCCTTTGGGGAAGCCAAGCTTGGTGGCAATTTCAATTAAATGCAGAAAAGCAGTTAATAGATTTTTTTTTTTTTAAGACAGAGGGCAGGACATCAACCTCTGGGAAAGCTAAGCTTCCTCTTGCAAAGCACTTCTCTTCCTCTCCAGCTGGGCTGCACAATTATTGATAACGCTGCCTCTCATATAATGGCCCAATTTCATTAGGAATCAAATGCTCAGCGTTTCTCATGTACAATTCTAGTCCTTTTAGCTGGCTCTTTTCCATCGAAAGGTCAAGAATTAAATAGATGAGAGGGTGTGAGAGTGTGGAGAAGACACCCCGCCTTGGTCTGACCCCCCTCCCGCTCCCCCACCCACCCCCGCCGCCCCGCTCCGTCCCGGCCCCTGAGCATCTGGCTCACCAGGTAACCGGAATCAATAAACAAGGGCCCGATCCCCGAGGCCCGCGGCATCTCGACGGCTCGGAGGGGCGAGTGAGCGATCGAGGTTTGGGCCTCAGCGGAGATCCTGAGCACAGGCCCCCCACCTTCCCCTCGCCTCCGCGGACCAAAGGTTTGCCAGTGGGACCCGCCCGGAGACAATAGCTGCCCCCCGCGGGCGCTCTGTGGGCTTGTTTGGAAAGCGCAGGGGCGCTTCGAGGTGAAAAGGTCAGCGCGGGGTTCCGGGTTTACCGCGGCCTCCTCCGCCCGCTCGCAGGCCCTGACCATCCTCGGACTCCCTCCGCCCGTGACGTCTTACTCCCTCCCCCCTCCCCCGACTTCTGACTCCCCGCCCCCGTCCCGCACTCTGCCCCCCACTAGGCCCCTTCGCGGCCACCTCCTTCTAGCTGTCCAGTGCCCGGAGACCCAGGGCTTTCACCTTGAGCCCAGGCCTAGAGGCCTTGCGGAAGCTGGCCTGCTGCGGAGTGGCTGGGTGGAGGGGCTGGGGTGGGAGTGGGGGTGTTAAGCTGCATGCCAATTTAGAGTTGGTCAGCGACCCCTCTGGGGTCTAAACCAGGCCTGGCTCTGGGCGGGATGGAGGGAGCTGACTGGGAAGAGAAGGGGTAGAGTTCGCGTCGCCTTCCCCTACACTTCCTCCTCTTTTTACACACTCTTTCTGTCCTCTCCAAACAGATGTTTCTCTTCTTTACCGTCTTTCTCCTGGGGGGCTGGCTCGGCGCGGGGTCTCATGCCTGTAATCCCAGCACTTTAGCAGGCGGGCAGATCACTTGAGCCCAGGAGTTCGAGACCATCCTGGGTGTAATGGCAAAACCCTGCCTCCACAAAAATACAAAAATTAGCTGGGAGTGGTACTGTGCGCCTGTGGCCTCAACTACTCCGGAGACTGAGGTGGAGAATCCCTTGAACCTGAGAATCTGGCAGAGGTTGCAGTGAACGGAGATTATGCCAGTGTACTCCAGTCTGCAACAGACCCTGTCTCCAAAAAAAAAACCAAAAAACAAAACTCAAAACCAAAAACCAAAACCACAAACAATAACAACAAAAAATTGCACTCCAGCCTGAGCCACAGAGTGAGACCCTGTCTCAAAAAAAAACCCTCAAAACCAAAAAACAAAAAGAACAACAAACACTGCACTCCAGCCTGAGTGACAGAGCAAGACCCTGTCTCAAAAAAAGAAAAGAATAAAAAAGCAAAAGAAAGAAAGAAAGAAGCCGGGCGCGGTGGCTCAAGTCTGTAATCCCAGCACTTTGGGAGGCCGAGGCGGGTGGATCACGAGGTCAAGAGATCGAGACCATCCTGGTCAACATGGTGAAACCCCGTCTGTACTAAAAATCAAAAGATTAGCAGGGCATGGTGGCGCGTGCCTGTAATCCCAGCTACTCAGGAGGCTGAGGCAGGAGAATTGCCTGAACCCAGGAGGCGGAGGTTGCGGTGAGCCGAGATTGCGCCATTGCACTCCAGCCTGGGTAACAAGAGCGAAACTCCGTCTCAAAAAAAGAAGAAAGAAAGAAAGAAAAGAAAAGAAGGAAAGAAAGCTCTCTGGGAACTACATCATCCCACAGACTTCTATGTCTTTCTGGATTCTCCCAATAACTGAAGGACTGACAACTGTCAAGCCTGAGTGTCTGGGACCCAATTCTGCTGAGGCCACACCCAGTAAGTCCTTCTCTTTATCCAGCTGAGATCTTAAAGCTCAGTTCACTCCAGCCCAACCAGCCAGTAGCCATTTTCTTCACCTCTTCTCCAGGGGTAGTGGAGTGTGAGGCCTCCTCTACCCCTGAATGGAGAAACAGAAGCAGGCAGGAAGAAGGGAAAATGCAGACTTTATTGAAATGAGGTAGTTGCAGGTACAGAGAATCCTGGCTCCTTAGGGGCTCAGGTTTCCAGAAACTTAGATGGCTCCTCTGCTGTCTCCAAGGTTCAAAGAAATCCTTGCAGCTGCTGGGAGCCCTCACTGTACTTGGCCCTCCCTGGGCTGCCCCCAGGAGTACGGGTAGAGATGGGGAAGAGGGTCCTGGGTTTTCCAGGAGGCAATAAATAGGGGAGGAGCTAGTGGGGGCGTGCCTGCACCTTCCTGGTTGTGGCTTGCTGGGGGCAGACCTTGTGCAGCATTCCAGAAGTCTCTAGAATACCAAGTTCCAAAACACTTTGGTGACATAGTGATGAGGTCGCTGGCGTAAGGAAGCAGGTCTCAGAAAACAACCTCTGGAGGCTGCATTAGTGCAATACAAATGTGCCAGGAGAGGGCTAATGGGTTCGATGGGGGCTGGGGGGAGGGGCTTTTTGGTCTGTCACAAGGCAGCTGGTGCTATTGTAAGGTCTGTGGTGACTGAATTAAGGATTGGAAATAATATGGCTGCATCCAAACACCTCCCACACAAGAAAATTCAAGATTCTGTCTCAGGCCTAGAAGGGGGAGTTAGGATAAGAGTGCGTGAGGAGACTCCTCAAAGCTCAAAGGCACTGAACTGAATAAACCGAAGTTGGAAGGGAAAGGAGAATGAATCCAGGAGGATGAGGCTGGCTCCCACCCCCAACCACAAATTGACACTAAGCTGATCCCCGGATCAAAGGCGGAAGCCCTTCCCTCTACATTTGACAGGTTCCGTGCCTCCCAGGCCTCTGGTCCTCTCGGGCCACATCCACCCAGATCTGAGAAAAACATTTCCCCATCCCCCCTCCCACCCACAGGCAGCTCTAAACTGGTGTCCCAACCCTAGGGAAGATCCCCAGGCCTGGGGTTGGGGAGAGCCTGGGATAGGGCTGGACTGGGGCACTCCAGGGCCTGGAAGCCCCATCTTAGGCTAGGTTCAGTTCAGGAGGTGACAGAGCTGGGTGAGGCTTCTGGGGAGGTGCATGTTGACTGGTCTGAGGCATCTCCAGCCACCTCCTTGGGGTAGCCTGGTGGAGCCGGGGGCAGCCGACCTCCCTCCCGCTCGCGCTTCTTCTGCTTCATTCTTCGGTTCTGGAACCAAATCTTGACCTGCGTTTCGTTGAGCTCCAGGGTAGCAGCGATCTCCACCCTCCGGGCCCGGCTCAGGTACTTGTTGAAATGGAACTCCTTTTCCAGCTCCGTCAGCTGCCTTGTTGTGAAGTTGGTGCGGAGGCCACTGGGCGAGCCCAGGCCCAGCTCTGACACCTTCGCTAGGGGTGGGGCGGGGAGAAAGGCCAGGTCAATTCTCTCACCTCTTACTCCTTCCCCTTCTCTCCTCCCGGGGCTGGCTCTGCACCTCTATTCACCATTCTGCCCAAGTACAGTTGTCAAAGTTCCCACGGACCACCAGGCACCGACATGGTGATCACCAAATCTGGAGCATCCCCCACCCCGACGCACACCAGGTCCTGGGCCTGTGCTGGGTGCACAGATCAGAAAGTGGGGTGTATTTGGAGACTTAACTCTTGGGAGACTTAACTCTTGGTTACACAGTAGGTGGGGAGACCTCACCTGACCTGAGACTTCGGGAGTGCTCTTACCTGTGTCCTACCAGAGCCGCTGAAAGAGAAGAACCCAGCCCAGGCCTAGGACGTGTCACTGCAGGGGCAGCAGAGATGCTTTGGGAGAAGGGGTAGCCACTTCTGAGCCCTACCTGTCTTGGGTGGGTTTCTCTTAACCTTCATCCAGTCGAAGGTCCGGGCTGTGGGGGTGCTAGGTTCTGAAGGGCAGGACGATTCCTTGTCCTCTGAGAGGAGATCAGCATAGGTCGGTGCAAAGCTCGCGGTCTGCTCGTTCCCATAAGGGGGCTGCTGCGGAGGATATGGCCCCGGACCGGCTCCACCTACTCCGTAGCCGTCGGACAAGCCCGCTAGCTGGGCCCCGTAGCTCGAGGGATGAAAATAGCCTCCGTCTCCTTCTGATTGACCCAGAGGGTAGTACTGAGAAGGCCCATAGCTGGAGCTGCAGGCGGCTGGGGCATACCCCGAGGGCGCGGAGCTGGGGAAGGGTACCCCCAGCGCCGAAGGCGGCTGCTGGGAGGGATAACCGGAGTTCTGCTGGAACGTGGGGCTGGACAGCCCCCCACCGTAGCGGCCCTCGCTTGCATAGCTGTCAACCGCCTGAGTCGAGGTTGGGGAAAAGGAGGTTGGGGCGCTGTGCGCGCTGTGGGCGCTGTAGGCGCTAGGTCCCCGGTTACAGAGTGGGTACTCTAAGAAGGAGTTCATCCTATTATAGTCCATGCGTCAAGGCCGCAGGAGGGTCGGCCCGTTTAGGGGAGACACCCTCTTGCCCTACAACCTTTCAGCAGTATGTCACAGCGCTGGGGCTCGCATCCATGGCCTGGACCGCTCGCCTGGGCCAGCGCTCTCCTAGGAAGGGGGTAGGGAGTGGGGGTGAGGGGGCACATGTGATCTCTCCCAGGCCAATGGGCTAAGCCGGCCAGAGTTTGGCAGCCCCAGCGCCCATCCATCACCCCCCAAGCATTAGCATGACAAAGACACTTCAATCACCCGCAGCCCATCCATCTGAGAGCGACGTGGAAGCGTCAAAAACATCTTTCTTCAAAGACTTTTGGAAAGAAGAGACCAGAGGGAGAGGGGGAAAAGTTAGGAGAATATTCAAGACTTTTCTCCCCTCTCAACCCCCAAGGCCTTCAATAGGCTCCTGGGTTATTAGATTTGGACAAATTCAAGCCAGCTGCCCCTCACTCTTCCCACCCCTCAAAGAAACCTTCCCCCCAAGTCTGTGGACCCGGAGGTGGGGAATCCAGCCTCCTTACTTTGCCCAGAACTCCTGAATCATGTTCTTTTCTCCCAATTTGTCTTGGGGTGATGGGCTAGGACAGCCGGGTGAGGTATGTTGTCTTGGGCCAAATGGATGACTGTGGTGGGGTGTGTGGGAGGTGCAAAAACACCTAAGGGTGTGGGGCAGGGTCTAGACTCTAGAAGAAGGATTCATGAAGCCAGGGGTGGGAAAACGGCATCTCAGGGAGCAAGACAGGACTACAGAAATGTGGAGAAAAGGATGAGAAATGCCCATCCTCCCTCTCTCCCTGCATAAACGTTCTCTTCTCATTCACACATCCATTTCTCTCCCTCAGCCTCTCTTTATATTCTCTCTGTCTCAATCCATCTCTCTGTTCGTCCATCTTTCTCCATATTTATACTCGTTCCCTACC